AAAATTTCAGTACTTAAGAACACCAGAAACTCGACTTGTATTTACTATAGAGCCACATTAGTTAAAGACAGTTTTGACAGTGGAATTGCTGATCTCAACTTTTGGAGGCAGCATCAAAAGACCCGAGGGTGCATCTCTCAAGCTCTTGTGCATCCTCTTCCTCTAATATGTATGAAGGATAACAAAAGAATGGGATCAAGTTCCATGCAACGCCCTTATGAAGTATGGAATATGATAAGCACAAACTAGACCGTCTGCGAAAAAAGTCAGTCAAACAGGTCCATACAATTAATCCATAGACATTCTCTCCTTACCAGTAGAATACCTGGAAACGTCACCTCTCCCATATTCATAACCCGGGCATTCGTGGCACTGTGGCAGCGCGGTTTGAGCATAGAAAACATTATGACATTGCATGCATAACATTCATCACGGTCGTCGCACGACGCCAGCAATATCTAGTGCCGTTTAATTTTATTTTATTTTATTTTTTTTGTTTTATTCATTACAACACCCTACAGTAAATACCAATTACAGGGTGAGGAAACACAGAACATAATACAGATATAAAAGACAATAATAAGTAATAGACTACAAAGTGTAAAAGATACATGCTGGTTACTTAATGGCATTTTTTATGTCTGCAATTCTGCAGTTAAATATCTCAATCCTGTTACTTGCAGAATTGTAATTCCTACACATCACATGTAAAGGGGAATAGTGTAAATAATTTGTCCGTGCCGCAGGTAAATGAAACGTAACGTTTTGTCGGGATGTCAGCCTAGGTACGTTAAATGATAACTGACCCAAGAAAGCTAACTCATCACTAGCATTATTGATCAATTTAAACAGAAAAATCACGTTTTTACGCCGCACAATGGTAACATTGCACCGGCACTGTCTCAAATCCAGCAGCATGTAATTGTTCCGACCGTAAATCGCTCCCCGCAGTCTATTCGGCCTCCCCAGGTGATTCTCCGATCCCGAGTTTAATTTACCTGTGTAATGAGCTGGATGTAGATCGCAACCGCCACCGCCACAAACGCCGACGCGACGGTTGTGCCCCCACCTCAACTAGGGATGCAAACTATACTTCGATACTTCAGAGGTATCGATACTGGGACCACGGTATCGAGTGTTTCTGGATTGATGGATACGTAAGGTTACTGAACGAAAATCGAAATTGGCCTCTATCGCTATCTCATACGCTATATATACATCATGTTATAGTCCTTGATGAAACTTTATGAATTTTATAGGAAGTTAACCCCAAGACTAGACTAAGCAGTGTCGCTAACCATTATAAGTATGTATATAAATGTATCAAAATCATGATGAAACTAGTATTGTTGCATCTTTATTGCAATTTTAGCATCTGCAGTGCATTAGAGACTTGCTGCTGTACGCAAAAAACAGCCTATGAAACACGTACCCTGAAAATTATCAGTTTTATATTGTCGGAGAGTTGGCTCTCTTTATATACTTCTTAAAACATATGTTTGTCTTCATTTATTGCATTGTTGTTATTACAGTCCCACGGGATATTGACCCCAATTTAATTTACTTGATCTCAATTTGCATGATAGTAAAAACTGGAAATACCTTCCTGCACCACCGATGCTTAAATATGCATTTCAAAAATGTGATATTAATTTTTTGAATGATACGTGACATGTAGATAACGAAAAACACGTCAATTACTTCCATCGATCTGCCTGTCGGTCTCTGTCTGATTCACAGAATGTAGCTACTATACACAAGGACGAAAAAACTGCAATTTTTTATTATCGGATCAGTGGCGATGCAGTGAAAGGCAGAAAACGTTGAAAAATAGCTTGAACTTCCTGATCATATTTGGAAACTTTTTTTTATTTTTGGGTTTTATAATTGGGGGTTGAACGCGGTTAGTATATTAATACAATTCCAACCCCGGCAATTCTAAGCACCTATTAGACATGTTTCATATAGACTTCCCGTACATTTGCCCTTGAAACTTAATTAACATATGAAAATAAATCGAGTTGGAAAAAGTATCCCTCAAATACGAGGATTGAACTAGATTTTTCACAATCTCGTCTGTCAGATGCCCCTCAGCATGCAGCAAGAGATTGTCAGAGCAAATCTGAATATTATAAAATTTTGTTTTATCACTCCGTCAAAGTTTTTTAGCTTTTTCGAATCATTCTGAACAAAAAGATTTTTTTTATCGATTTAGGAGGTGACCGTTCATCTTCGATGCTTAAAATTATTATCTCAGATGTTAACAATTAATTAATATTAAACCTTTCCTACAGGACCCCGAAAAGTATGTTAGGCTTAGTTTATTTCAAGATCATGTTTAGCTTTGATTGGTACATAGACCAATGGCGAATTTTTAGGTTTTGCAGACTGTACCACCGAAAAATGGAAAAACGGATTAGAATACTCAAGGGTATAACAGACAAAAACGAGGCAAATAAAAAGGGTACTACTATCAATAAAATACGGACTAACAAACAATTTGGGCCTACAGGTTAGTGAGGACGTGAATATCGATAAAGTTAGAAGAATGTTTAAAGGCGTGCATTTGTCTCGTTCGGTCAATGATGTCATGTTTAAGAATTTTTTTGTAATGCATATTGAGTCATGCTGTGGGATTAGTCGAGTGTAAGAGTAGCTATCTGGGTAACCTTCGTCCCACTGAAGATAATCAGGGCATTATTGTTATTATTAAAAACATACAATTTAAGCAGATATGGTGAGCAGGAATTGACAAAACATAAAATGTGCAAGACTCATAAGACCCTGGAATAGACAAGCAAATGTTTTGAAGAAACAAAAATGGCGGCAAGAAGGTTGACTCTGCAACCCTGTCATCAACTCATAAAGGATTATATTCACCCCAAGTTAGTCCCTTTGATCTAGCTAAAAACATGTATAACAAAAAAATAATTAGGTCAAGTCAGCCAAACACTCAATATACAATTTATAAATATCCATAGTCCAATGCCATTTGATGACGGTAACGTGCCCTAAGTATCAAACATCTAGCATCGCTGCTGGACCACACCAGTCAAACACGTCATAATCCACAGCTACAATGCTATAGCATCCCTTCCGACGATGCTGTCAGACGCGATGGAAGTCGCCGTTGCATCGCATCGTCCCGGCCGACCGTGAGTATAGTCTATAAATATTTGATTAATAATAAATTACTGGGGTTGGAAGCGTATAAATATTCGGCTGACAGCAAAATGTGACATACCAATTTTTTTTCCGAAAATGATCAGGAGCCTCTGAATCGTTAAAAAAAGAAGTTTGAGCGGTTTTTATTGTTTCGTGTTTTTGCCCCTAGCTTGCCGCCACCACATCGATTTTAAAAAACTAAAAAGCTTTTTCATCTTTGGTACAGTATGCGAAAATTTCATCACAAACCAAGCAGTACAAGATTAGCGGACAGACCGACAGAAATGAGTGACATAGTTTTTCGTAATGTACATGCCATATAACATCTCCTAGACATATCTCATTTTCGATCTTTTTCGCCATTACAATACTTCCTCGACAGTAGGCGTGGGAAGTAAAGGATAAATGCTGGAAACAAGCGAATATGCTGGTAAAGGATCGCATTCATGACGCTTTTTCTTCATGATGGTGGGTAAAATACGTCCGAACTATGTAAATATTCAAAAGAGCAGAAGTATCGATACTTCACGGAAGTTTTTCATCTCTAACCTCACTCTCGGTGGCGATTAATTTAATGGCTTTCGACCATTCTTTCGCGTTTAATTTAAATGGCTGCTGTAACGTTTCGCGAACGCCACCGTCATTGTCGTGAATAATTAAGACTCGGCCCTTTTCGATGGCAGAGGGAAACAATGGAATGTCGCCAGCGTCTTTTGGACGCAAGGATTCATTGGTCGCGTTTTATTGTCACTTTTATTTTGTTTTCGCGGAAGAACAGTTGTTAATTTTTGAAACAAGATTTGAGATCTTCACTGAATACGCTTACGTAATAGTCTCAGATAAGTCTCGTAACGATACGAGCACTCAGTCCAAGATTGCATCCAGGGTCAATGTCACTCGACAATGCTTGACTTACGGCTGTCTCTTTCTGACTTCTTTGTCAAACATTGCTGAATGATGATTTTGCGTGACACAAATCGCTTCCATTCGCCCCAATGGGCGTGCAACTTTAGACTGTGTAAGAAGAAATTTCTATAACTGTCGGGTATGCGAGGCTTGCAGTTTCCATCTAAAGCAAAACTTTTATAAAATTTTTTTACCAGACCATTTTGATACAAAAGATAAAATAGAGGTTTTAAAATGCTTCCTTAATAAATTGGCAAATTGAAAATTTTGCCATCTAGTTAAACTATTAAATTTTTTTCCCGATTCATCACAATATGCAGTATCAGTAGTCGTTTGCCTGTGGCAATATTTTTGAAGATTACTTTGCATGAATATAAAAAAATAGCTAAATAACGTGTCAATCACCATTTTGCTATGACGACCATATTAGATTCATGATGACGTCACTTGTTGCATTTATATCATCAAAGTCTTCCATTTGATACCCATATCGTAGGGGTTACTACGGAAATAATAAACCGCCATTTTGTAGCATCCGGCATTCTGGATTCAAAATGGCGGCATGCAATTCTTTTTGTATTGTTACGCGTGACAACGGTGTATATTAAATTTCAGCTCAATTGGTTGAGGTTAACATGTTCAAAACTGACGTACATGCTTACAAACAGGTCAAGTTGAATAAAAGCTTCTAATAATGAACCTTTTGTTCATGCCAAAATATGAAATTGTGATCTGTCTAAAAATAATATTGCCACCATTCTCTGAATCAACCTGTATAAATTTGTCTCTGTCGAGAAAAAATAACTTTTGTCGAAAACTATTTTGGATAGGCTAATAACTAACTAAACTTACTTAGTGTAAGTCTAATAAAATGGAAACACAAATCACACTTCAAAATATCACATCAATAATGAATCTATTGTACTCACCATTTACTGCAAGTAATGACCATCCCAGGTTAAATCACAAAAGTTAAAGTACGGATATCGCTCCAGATGTATGACCATACCACAGATGCTTAGGTAAACAAGATTTACAAGCAACGTAGAACTGTCAGAACCGATACTGGTCACCTCAACATCTGCAAAGATGAAAACATTTATACAATAACCTGTACACCGGAAAGAAGTATTTGCTAACATAGTGCGAGGCAACTAGTCAATTTAGCAAAATAGATTTTGCCATGTCCTTTCGAGAATTGTTTGTTGATTGTCCAGATTGTTCGTCAACAACAGCAAAATTTACTGTGAGCAGTCGTTGGGAAATCTGTAAAAGACTGTCTGACAAGCAAATCATTGATTGATAATGATAGTATGATAATGGTGGTAATAATGGGCGAAGCACATAAAAATGAGTACATGCTTTTACATGTTTGCCAGTTTGTATAAAACTAATATTATAGATAATGTTTAAGTCTAAAATAGCAGAAATCCAGTCTAATAATTCTACATGATCTAATTTTATTTTGAGTAGGATTGAAACAGAATAGAAACTCTCCAGACGTTGATTGTCTAAGGTCTAAGGTATGATTAAAAAAAGAGTGACTATGCTCCGAATGAAGGAAGAACAATTAACAATTATGCGAGAAGTTCCTATGAACACAAGTCCTCACATATCACCTTTCCGGGATGTAAGGTGCTTTACGACTTTCATCGTACTGAATGAAGGTGGAACCTCATATAGAACAATCATACCTCTTGAATAAACGTGCTCCCACCTGTATGCCAAAACGCTTATAAGAACATGTCATTTTTGGGGGTAGTTTCTGCTGTTTTCCGAATCATGTTGAATATCCAGCATAGATCTAATTTTAATTCAAACAGAGGAAAACGGAAGCAGTCGAAACAGTTTGAAATCCGATATAGGTAAACTGTACAGCACAGCATAAGAACTGCTGAATACCTAAGCACTATGAACCAACAAACCACATGGGATTTTACACTTTTTTATCTTTCCATTTTTTCCGCAGTTCCAGTACTTAGGATTAAATCTACTACACTAATAGTCTTGTACTAATAGAAAATGATCAACCTGAACTAATAAGAAGCACACGTTTATTGGCAGCAACGTAACATCTTGCGGAGAACAAAGGCGCGAAATAGGAAATATCCTCTTGCAATAATTGTACAGCACGTGTTGGCCAAATGGTACGTATATACGTAGCCAAAAACACAATGGAAAAACTATCCAGAGAGAAGGGTAGCCAACCAGAGACGGAGCCAGTGCAACGGAAACCTGGTGAGGATGCAGGTTTGTTAAATTTTATCGGTTGTTTCATAACCGCAAGACAAGTTATACCAGGCCAAACATTGAAATATGAATCTAAATTGTTTTTCAAGTTTTCTCATGAAGGCCCGACACCCATAGTCTGCAGTAGTTTTTTACAAAACACTAAAAAACAAATGTAATAAATGAATGTCACTAGCCAAGCGTTATTTCATTATCATTGGCTAAAAAGAGAGATGGGTCTGTGAAACAATCACAAATAAGTTACGGAACAGTTGCTAACGCGCCAAGGCGTTTCTCCAACTAGAACCTTCACAGAGATTCCCAGAACGTACTGAATCAAATACGAATTTAATAAAAGCCAGCTTTAGAGGCAAGTGGACAAAATTCTATATTAGGAGTGTCCGAATAAATATTCTCAAGAGATACCGATTTTGACGTTACAACAAAAAATTGCGTCGAGTCAGTTGACTTTACTTCCCATGCTACGTTGTCATTAGTTCGTAAAGGATAACGTTTAGCACAAGTTATCCCTTCTTAGTTAGTCACGAACATGCACAACAAAAAATTAAATGACCTTCCTCCTCCTCCTGAGAGGAACAGCTTCAGCTGCATATGATCGTTGCGATGGCCAATGCCGCGTGAATGACGATATGCACAGTGTACGCAGCCCACCGTATTGTAGAAGCGATTGCCGACTATGACGTACGACCACGGACGACGACGCTTGTCCATCGGGGGACGACGTCGCACATATCGACCCCAAACTCTATGAGATATATCTAAGTTTTTAGGGTTAACGTACGAGGACATCTATGATGAATGGAATACGCCTAATATGTACGTAGAATTACTGAGGTTGTAGGCGTATAAACAACGTCAAAACATTAAGATATACCCTCCCACACCCCTTGCAACCCCTAAACCCAATTAATAACCCCTATAAAAATGTTTACGATAATGATCAGGATCGTCTGAAACGTCAAAAAACGAAGTTTATGCGATTTTTATTTTGTTTAGTTTTTGGCCTTTTTATCCGCCGCCACTAGACCGATTTCCAAAAACTACAGAGCTTTTGCGTCCTTGTCATAGTAGTAACATTATGTAAAATTTCCATTGAGATATGAGCGGTACTTCTCAAGTGATAGGCGGTTATAAGATTAGCGGACAGACCGACATACAGATCGACTGACGGAAATGAGTGACACGGTGGTACCAAGGTGTCATAATATATAACATCCAAAAAACATAATATCATTTTCGAAAATACTCATAATTACAATACTATACTGGACGAGAAGTTTTGCGAAAAATTCCAAAAATGAGATATCTACTATACTTTTTGGATGCTTTATCACAACAAAGTTATTCACTCATCGCCGTCGGCCTGTCTCTCTGTCCGTTTGTCCGTCCGGTAATGCATGGCCCATCTATAACTTAGGACCAGTAGGATTTTTATGTAATGTTTACACACGGCTACTATTATGCCAATAACGAATAAGCTTTGCAGCTTTTGAAAATGGTCTATTGGCGGCGGAGCTGGTAGCAAAAAATGAAAAGTAAAACTGAAATCGCTCAATCCTCGTTTTTTTACGTTTCAGGGGCTCCTAACCATTTTCAGAAAAAAATGTAGTGGTTGATAATTATGAGTTATAGGGGGTAGGGGGTGAAAAATATTGCAAGGATTGACGTGAATGACGTTTTATTATTCAGGCATTACCCACCTGTTAAACACAATATCACATACATATATATCGCATATTGAGTTAATATTGTTACAAATGACTGAAACAGCTGATTATGTCAAAATATTGGTTGTAGCACATTTACAATAAAACACTCTCGAATTTCTATTGTTACGCTGAGAAACTCCAACATCTCATTAGCTGACGAAATAGTGATTTCTATATGGACAGAAAAATACATGTTTCGAATAGAATTCCTAAATCATTGATTTGCGTTGGACGCTTAAGGCTAACGTTGCCAAGGTAGTATTCAAGAATTAAAATACTCTGTTTACTTGTAAAGGATACAATGAAGCACTTGTCAGCATCATAGTATATGTATGATGCATATTTAAAGCCCATAATTCAAAAGCTAACTTAGGACACTGTGTATGTATGCATAATCGATGTCTACTGTCCAGAATGACGTGGGAAATACACAGCCAATCTACTTCAAGCCATTTATTGCCATTGTTGACGAATTTTTAATAACCTGGATATTTACTGCGACGTAATACTCAATGTGACTGTCCATTATTTTATTCGAATTCTAGGGACTAGATTTAGGACACTTCATGTAATATGTATTGTATAGTCGAGTCGCTTACGCAGATTCTTATCATATCCAGTAACCTTTCGATAGCCTTTGTTATCTCCATCGCACCTATATTTTATTCACAAGTGACCAAGAGACACTGGTACACTTGATCGAAACGCGAACAAAAAAGGTCGCCAACGCGATAACACTGATAACATTGATAACACTAGAGCTGAAGTCCAGTTAGATTCTAATGACTCCTAGATAACCACGATATTTTACGATTTCGGATTTACAAATGGCCACGTATTTACGTATCGTCGCGTCGGTGTGTTTATTCCTGTGCTGCTTATCTGCGCCGTCGATATGAAAGGTAAACGTTGTGTTGCCATAGCGTCGGGTAAGTTTGATAATCATTACGTAATTTCGCTAAATCTTAATACTATTATTTCGGTTCATAAGAAAAACACCAGGAGAAGTATAGACAAATGCATCATATGACCAAGGACTTACTGTAAAGGAACTAGTTTCAAAACTTCCGATATAAACACAGGGTCATCCTCTAAACAATATAAACCAATCCTACAAATAAGTAGGATAGGATTAAGATTTGGATTTGTCTTTACCGACATAAAGACTAACCCGATTTTAGAAATTCTGCCTCACATTAAAGCAAATATCACTTGTCATCTTGTCTAGGAATGAAAGTAGATGATCCTAGATCCAATCGACTACTATATAGATTATCTAAAACCTAAATAAATTTTATTCCTATTCGATATAAACGTAGTGCGTATGCCTGTCTGATAATGAATTCGGGGTGAAAACAAAATATTTTTTTATCTCATACTGAAGCAGACATGTCGGCGGAAACAGAAATACCGGAGCACCGCGACTGCTATAAGGAGAATTCGGTAAAACCTCCTAGGCAGATTGTACCACAATCTCGACACCCTAGAAACAAAGGAGCGGTCATCCTTTACATACGAAGTTTGTCAGGGTTGAGATGGGAGGCAGAATCCCGACGGATCCAACTGGCAGACTAAACGCGCGACATCATCATGAAGGAGAGTTCTGAGTGGCAAAGACGGTTAACATATAGTAAGAATCGGTCTTGGATCCTTTTCTGGGACGGGTTGGACATGAGCAATTTTCCAATTCTCTTGGAAAGTACCAGATTCGTAAAATGTCTGTAAGAGACGCAAAACAATTGGAGCAAACTCCATTGTACTATTCAGTGCAAGATCAGGAATCAAGTCAGCACCACAAAAAACTTTGTTGATGTCGAGTGACAGAGCACCCGTCTTACGGGCTTATGCTAGGTTACTTTCACATAGAGTAGGGAATCCTTCGTATCGACGGCACACGAGATGACGACCGTGGTGGAGTTGACAGTAAAGATTTTGGCAAGAATTTCCGCCTTAGCCTTTGAGCCGGTTACAATCGTTCCATCCTGACACGAAGCGAATGAAGGCTATTATTTGAGAATTTCCCTTTGATCTTCTTGGTCAACGCTCTGAAACACCGACTGCCGTTTCACCGCGACATTACCCTATGTCGGAGTTTTGCGTAGGGTTGTTCTTTTGCATTTCG